TAGGATGACCAAAACTGTACACAATACTCCAAGTGCAGCCTCACCAATGACTTATATAACTGTAACATAACGTCCCAATTCCTATACTTAATGCCGCGACCGATGAAGGCCAGCATGCCAAATGCCTTCTTCACCACCCTCTCCACCTGTGACACTGCTTTCAACAAACTATGCACTTGTGCTCCTAGGTCCATCTGTTCCACAACACGCCTCAGGACCTTACCATTTATTGTATAAGTCCTACCTTGGTTTGACTTTTCAAAATGCAATACCTTGCACTTCTCTGTATTGGATTGCATTTGCCAATCTGTAGCCCACTTCCCCATCAGATCAAGATCCCCCTGTAACTTTTGATAACTGTCTCCACGATCAATGATACCTCTTAAATTTGTATCATTCACAAACTTACCAATCATGCATTGTACATTCACATCCAGATGTTTGTTTGACCAGCCCCAGTGGTCTAATGGATAAGGCCTGGCCTCCTAAGCCAGGGATTGTGGGTTCAAATCCCATCTGGGGTGAGTTGAATTCTGTCCTGAAATGCTGTTTGTTTGGGCCGGCACATTGGCTCAGTGGTTAGCACTGCTGCCTCACAGCACCAGGAACCTGGGTTTGATTCCACTCTTGACGACTGTGTGGAGTTTGCAAATTCTCCCCGTGTCTGCGTGGGTTTCCTCTGGGTGCTCTGGTTTCCTCCCACAGTCCAAAGTTCTGCAGGCTAGGTGGATTGGCCATGCTAAATTGCCCATGGTGTTCAAGGATGTGTAGATTAAGTGAGTTATAGGGGGATGGGTCTGGGTGGGACGCTGTGAGAGTTGGTGTGGATTTGTTGGACCGAAGGGCCTGTTTCCATAATGTAGTGATTCTATGATGGTCATTTATGTAAAGAACAAATAACAAAGTTCCCAGTACTGACCCCTGTGGCAGGCCTCCAGTCTGAGAAACAACCTTCAACCATCACCCTCTGCTTCCAACCATTAAGCCAATTTTGAATCCAATTAGCTAGCTTTCCCTGGATCCCATCCCACCTAACTATCATGACTAGTCTGCAGTGTAGGACTTTGTCAAAGGTCTTCCTAAAGTCAATTTAGACAACATCAACTGCCCTACCATCATCCATCCTCTTGGTTAACTCTTCAAAAAACTCTAAAAGATTTGTCAGATTTGGCTTCTCACGCACAAATCCATGCTGACTATCCCTAATCAGACCTTAGCTGTTGAAATGTTGGTTGATCCTGTCCCTCAGTCCCTGATGGAGGTCTCCTGCTGGTATAACAGGATAAACCCAGGGATGATGATGGCAATGTGTGTATTTTCCCATTTCTGTAAGGTATGATTCTGTGTGTATGACTATGTCCAGCTATTGTTTGACTACTCTGTGGGACAGATCTTCCAATAGTGAACAGCATTTATTGCCCATCCCAGCTGCCCTTAATAAAGTGGTAGTTAGCTGCCTTCTTGAACTGCTGCAGTCCATGTGCTCCACATAGCCCATTGTGCCTTCAATGAATTATTTTCCCTGTAGCTCTTAAGATGTTTCCTGTTCATTTTGCCTTTGCAAATTATCATTTAAATATGTTTTCATCACCATGCCAGATCATAACAACTCATTGCCTGACTAATTCACAAATGTAATTGTTCCGTGATTACTTTGCCAGGGAAGCGTTGCTCTGGTCACCGTGTATGTGATTATGATATCACTACACAAAGTTGCAAAAGAAATCCTTTCCATCAGTGGACATTGGTGCATAAAATGAATGGATGGAAGTTCTGAGTACCTCACACTTGGATTTTCTATTTAACCATATTTATCAGCATGCAGACTCAACTCAAGTTAATTGGCCATTCAGTGAATAAAACTCTGCAGTCTGACACAATTCTATGCATCTTCACTTCCTCTTTGGTGGTATCACTGGATCTTCTGAATCCTAAAATTCATATTTAAGTCCAGGTGTTAAGGTTTTCTACATTTAGATACCTGAGTGAATTTGAAATTTATCAAACTCCTTTTACAACGATACTCTGTTTACAGGATGTGGTGCTCTAGTTTAGTTATTGCTCTATCTCAGCCTATCTGCTATTAAATATACATATCTGTCTCACTTCCAGACTTGACTATTCAAATGTTAGCATTGCTGGCTTTCTATCCCCTATTCTGAAACTCTATTTTCCACAAATAAAGTCACCTATTCTGTCCCACACTAAATCACAATAGCTCTGCCACCCAATTTACACAGTCAAAATCTTTATCCACCTCTTTAACTCCTTCAATATTACAACCTGTTATATTCCTGTATTCACCACCAGATCTATTGCCTTTCCTCAAATGCCCATTTCCTTTTTGCTGCAGCTTATTGAATTTGTCTCATTGTTGATGGTAGAATTTCCAGCTGTCTAGCTCTGCCTCTTTAGATCTTCCTCCTTGCCATTTTTTCCTCTTACATTTATAACCAACCCTGGATAGCGTATAGCATACATAGCGTTCAATCACCCATTTAATCCAATTGAATTGGTTTTGGATTGTTGGAGCAAAGAATTGAGACTGACGGAAGCGAAGTTCGTAAGAAGTCGTACCGGACTGGAAGGTCACTTTCTTAACGATAGATGTTGCCAGACTTACTGAGCTTCTCCAGCAGTTTCTGTTATTGTTCGAGACTGTTAGCGGGGGCTAAAGGGCCTCCCTCTGTGTCATAAATTTGCACTTACTTCCTGGCTCAACAGCTATTTTATGCTTTACCTGTGCTGCACTTAGCGACATTATTGTTATTAAAGGCGTTTTATCATTCAAACTGCAACTCTGTAACACCAATAGGTTTTAAGCCTAAATTACCCCTACTTTCACGGATGCCTGATACAAAACGGTTTGTTTCGCAATGCCATGCAATACGTGAAATCACTTGAATCGGGTGTTTTGTTTGCAATGTGTGCATCCCGATGTCTATTCTGGTCGTGATGCTTATTATTTTCGGTTTTCGAAATACCGATTCCGCATATCGCATCTTGGAGGGCGCCTCTCGCACCAAGTTAGGTATTATTGTTGAGTAGTTGCCTATATTTCAATGTAGCTTTGGGATTTGCCTACCATGAAGCTGACTCCGGAGACTTAGTTGCATCGGGCAGTACGTCCCATTCTCCCCGAGACAAACGGGAGAGGCAAAGAGATGTCTCAAAGGCTGAGCACGGAGAGCGAGCAGGCTCGTCTAAAATGATTGAAGACACACAGATCTACAGATCGTAGATCATCAATCACTTGCTCAACCCGCATAATAAGGAGGAAACCTTACAGGAGGAAAGAGGAGACGGCAGCAACACGCGGGGACATTTTGTGCTTGAGTGCCATCATTTTTGAATGAGACAGGACAACGTGAAGCCGAAATGATAACCAATTTGATTGGAGTGATCCAATCAACAAAAGAGGCCCCCACCCGCGCCAAAAAATATCCCAACTTGTGCATTCAACACTCGGTTCCACCTCGTTTTCCTGAGTTTAGCCTATTTCTGCGCCGTTCATTCATTGCAAACTGAACAATTTATTTGTAAGAACTGAATCAATGTGTTTTATGTTAAATAAAAGCTTGCTGTTCGAACATTTCATGGTAACAAGTATATGATGTCATTTAGCAAACTACCGGCGACATTTGGTTGTGTAAATTTTCTGAGAGATATCTGACTAACACATTATGGAGAATTCCCGAGCACTTTTTATTCGAAGCTGGCGATTTGAAATTCATTCGTCTTCTGTTATCTCCGCCTTGCATCGTGGAACTAACTGGAGTGGAAGATCGATGTGTGTGTTTGAAAATCAAATTCCGTTAACCAAAATCCCCAGAAATGCACACCATAAATGTGGAATGGAGCGCGGGGGTGGGGGTGCGGGCGGAGGTGGGAGAGAGAGAGAGATTTGTGTACTGTACATGTTTCCGGATATCGTTTTTATTGTGTGTGGACATTTTTTGTATCAGTGCTTTGGAAACCGAAATGACCACGTTTTGCATTATGCCACCAATACCTGCGAAGTGAAGTGAATTGTGCTGAGTTAGTAAACCCGTCTTTAAGCAAAATCTCTGTATACATTATACTGAATAAAGGTGGTATAGAGTTAGACACCGCATTCCCCTCTCACCCTTGTTTACTGTTTGTTCAAATGTAGCCAGACATTCAGTCTGGTTCAACTCTGATCGATTGTTTCCAACAAAACGGGGCTTGATTTGCAACAAGAAGGGATATAAATTCACGGGCGAGTTGATTTCCATTTATTATGCGTCAACCATAAACAAAAGTGGGAATAACGAGCGTATTTTGGAGTTATATCCAGTACCCCCTGCCTGGGGGGTGGAGGGAGGGGGTAGCTTGAGGGGAGAAAGAAGAACTTAAAAAAGGCGAGCCGGAGGAAGAGGTTGGTGCTGATTGTTTTATTTTTGGTGTGCTGTCAGATTGTGCATCTCTCTGAAATGTGTTCGCGGTGTCCCCGCGGTCATGTGATAGCCCCCAGCCCCAGCCCCTCGCCGCTGCTGCCGCCGTCTCCTTTGTTGTTTCTGTAGCTCATTCCCACTACACAGACCATCCCCCCCCACCCCCCCAAATCCACCCCTCCCTCCCTCCGTCCCTCTATCCATCCCGCCCCTCCAGAACCCCGCCCGGGCGGCCAGGAGCAGGCTGCAAAGAGAGAGACACATATACACAGAGAGAGAGAGAGATTGAGGAAATAAAACAACCGGACAACTCGCATTTATTCAGAACCTTCACTATTCCCATCGAGGGAGGGCCTGAAGAAGCTGTTTGCAAGGATTTTGGGGGAAGTAGAAGGAGAGAAGCTGTTGCTGGCTTTGTGCAGCAGTCAGAGAGAGGGAGGAGGACTGGGGGGGGTGGGGGTGAGGAATGACCGGACTGAGGAGGAGGAGGTGATGCTCCAGGAAGGACGACAGCTTCCTCCCCTTTGACTGAGGAGCCGCCGCCGCCGCCCACCCTCTCCCCTCCCTGTCTCGGTTCTTCGCGGTGTTCGCCTCTCGGTGCGGTCATGGTGGGGACATTGTGGTCCCCGTGCCCCCAGCGCTCCTCCGCCGTCGCTTGGTGCCTCTGGCTTTTCGCCGTGTTAGCACTGAGCCGCCTGCCGGTGGCACTGCCCGCCAACCCACTCTCCAGCACCGAGTGTCAAAGCGGCAAAGGCAAAGGAACAAACTGCTCAGGTGGGTCACAAACAAAGAATCCCCCAGTCCGGGGGAGAGCCGTCTGTGTCTGTGTGTGTATGTGTGTGTATGTAACTGAGCTCCAGAACAAAGAGGAGAAGGATTAGTTGAAACGTGTGCATCTTTATTTATCATTGCGGCTGTTTCTTTGTGTGTTAAACGATTGTTAGTTGCAGACAGAGCAAGATTCCGGGAAAATGTGACAGATTGAATGGAGCACTTGGGTACTTTGAAATTGTCCAACTCTATTAATACGCTCCATGGAGGGATGTGGCAGCGGCGGGGAGCAGGTGCATGAGGACGATCTAGACAACACCCCCACTCCCCATTTGTATACACCCACAGCCCCATCCCTGCCCCACAGCTCTATCACTCCCCTACAGTTCCATTGCCCTCCCCACAACTCCATCACTCCCCCTCCCCACAGCTCCATCATGCCCCTCCCCACACAGCTCCATCAACCCCCTTCC